TCCAGAACAACCTTTTATGTGGAACTCTGTCAAAAGCCTATTTTAGGTCTAGGTAGATGCAGTCAGCCCAACCATCTCTTTCCTGTAATATCTCTGTGGCTCGATCATAGAAACTGAGTAAATTCGATACACAGGATCTTCCAGATAGAAAACCATACTGTCTGATATTATATCATTTCTCTCCAGGTGTTCTACTCATTTAATTTTTATTAGTTTTTCCAATACTTTCACTATTACACTTGTCAATGATACCAGTCCATAATTGAGGGGGTCTTCCCTGCTGCCACTTTTGTAGATTGGAACTATGTTAGCCTGTTTCCACACGTCTGCTACGACTCCTGTACACAGGGATGCCTGAAAGATCAGGTGAATTGGAATGCTGAGCTCAGATGCACATTCTCTCCGAACCCATGGTGAAACTCCATCTGGGCCAACTGCTCTGTTCTTATTGAGCTCCTTTAGCATATTTTCCACTTCATCTCTAGACACCTCTATACGCTCTATGTTGTTCTCTGGAATTCTTATTGTGTCTGGTTCTCTGAAGATTTCATTTTGCATAAACACTGTGTGTGTGTAATTACCTAAGTGTAATTACAGGATGAGAGCTATGCTCGTGGTGTCTCATCTTTCCACCACTTTGTCATATAACACTTTGTAATTACTGATGGTTATGGCCTCCACCGCCTTCTCACCTAACTTGTTCCAACCGTCTACCACTCTGTTTAAAAAAGTGAATTTTCTTATTTGTGAGACTGCCAATATACATGTGCTCTGATTAGTGGTGGCCACGATTTGGCTTGAGTGCCAGCTGAGTGTATGATTGATGTTCACTGGCTGTGGAGTGTGTGCGTGCGAGGCTCTGTTTTTTTTTTATATTTTTTTTGTATTTGGCCACTATTTTCATGCTGCAGTATTTCCACATGAAATATTCTACTACATTTTCTTATTGTCATAAATTAGTGACAATTTATGTGTCGCTATATATTTGTCAAATATGGATTGCTCATACATGGTATATACTACTGTATACAATCGGCACTTTTTGTTGTCAAGTGTTTTACATAGTGGGCATTGTGTGGTGGTCTCTGGAGCATGGTTAACACAACCAGTGTAAACCTTGACACAGGGGTAGACTTTGAGGCTTAGGGAGCCGGTCGGCCGAGCGGACAGCACGCTGGACTTGTGATCCTGTGGTCCTGGGTTCGATCCCAGGCGCCAGCGAGAAACAATGGGCAGAGTTTCTTTCACCATATGCCCCTGTTACCTAGCAGTAAAATAGGTACCTGGGTGTTAGTCAGCTGTCATGGGCTGCTTCCTGGGGGTGGAGGCCTGGTCGAGGACCGGGTCGCGGGGACACTAAAAAGCCCCGAAATCATCTCAAGATAACCTCAAGATACATAGAGATGAGTGCTTTTACAGTTTTGAAGTAAAAGTTATTTTTGCCCTTTGGAAATGACATACATAGTGAGAGAACAGCTTTGTGTACTACTACATTGATTTTTACATGCATTCCAACGACTCAGTTTGTATATTCAACTTGACATCTAATTGCATGTTATTGGTTGTAATTGAGCATGGGGTGGGGGTCCCATGCTGCCTCTCCATTTCTATTGTCTACTATTGCAGAGTCCATCATATCTCAATCATGTGCAGTTGTTAAGAATTTAACTTCACATTTATCATACCACTTGTTGCCAGTTTTATTCAAGTATCATTCAGCATGTCATGCATTAGTTTCATTTGGCATATTTGTTTTGTTTCTACAGGATGATATCACATAACCTAGTGTAATTATTAAACAAATATTGACTTGAGATGGGCTTGTATACCTAGGGTCTGTAATATACAAAACGTTTCCCTTCCCTTCCCTGTTTTTCCGAGAGGCTTCTCTACAACTTTACCTGAAAAGGGATTTGGGTCACTTTAAATGTCAACGGATATTCCTTATGGTTCATAGTTATATGAAGCAAAAATTTTGGTTTCACAATTACATAGAACTAAACAGTTTTACTTCTAATCAGTGCCATTTTGATTGTTCATATTGCTTGGAGGCCTTCCATGTACATCATGGTCCATTTGTTAGCATCAGTACAAGTTTCAAGCCAGACATAAAATGTGCTAAGCTGGGAGAGTGTTGAACAACTGTGGACCTCTGATGTTTATATAGTTTATACAGTTTGACATTCTCAATAAATTTTTATCTATGAACTTTACAAAATAATTTAATTCGAGAGCAGCAGCACAGTTCACACTGGATCAGATGATCATAGAGCCGGTAAATGGGGGACAGGAAGGGGGAGGGTAGGGATACAGGCCATTATGAATGAGGATTTAGATAGTGGAGATGAGGTATTATGGGCTGCTAATGGCCCAACAACTTTGGTTTTCCTGGTGCTTTTGACACTAATGCGAGTTGATGTGTGATGAGTTGTATTGCATATGATGGCTGTGCTCGTACAGTATATATGGTAGTTTTTTTTGTTTTTGTTTTTTTATATAATGTGGCGAGTGCCTTTGGTGGCCCGCTGTTGGTGCTGTAACGAGGCTGGATGGTGTTGGTCATGATGTGGGCGTTGTTTGCAGTTTATCCTGGAAAGGAGCGCCATGATAATTTGCTTGTTTGATTTCATTGACTGTGTGTTCCTTGTTGATGTTACTAGCATTTTAGTCTTGATTAGTTGAGTAGAAGTTGTTACAGTACCTTATTTGGGTGTGAACCCACTCTTTGACTTTGGGCATGAACCCTTTTCTGGACTGTGGAACCTTCCGGCCCACTCTTTGCAGTGGCCTTGAGGCTCTAATTTCCTTGACTTGTGGCATATTTCATGTTTAACCCTCCTGCTATTTTCCTTGTGTTGTGAATTGCAGTGTTGTGGGAAATTCGGGTATACCTCGGATATATGCAGCATTTGACCATTCCCCCAGGATGCCACCTGCAACAGTCGATTAACACCCAGGTTCCTAATAACTGCTAGGTGAACAGCCGCAATGGGTGTAGGGAGACTTGGCCATACATCTTGCCCTGCCTGGGATTTCGGTGATTTGAATGTAGTGTTGCTTGTATTATTCTAATCCTAGATTATCTATTCATTGTTTATTTTTTCTTGTTTCTTTATTATTTCTTAATACAGGTACGAGTGTTTTCTCTTAAGTAGTTTTTGTAGAGTTACTTATGGTTCATCTTTATTGAATACTGTATATCTCTGTGGATAAGACACTTGAATCATCAAAAAGGCTCCGCAAAGCCAGGGGTCATCTTATAAACCAGGTACAAAAAATTATGGCCATAAATTTTTCACTTGAAATACCACCCTATAACAAATTTTTGAGCGATTAAATTGTAAATACAAAAACAATAACCTTAAAATCCTGTACAGTATTTTGTAATGATGAGTCAATGAAGGTTGCTGGGCTCTTCAGTCTTGAAGACAGCTGTTGTAGTGTGCAAAGGTTAATCATAAAAAAAGGGAATGTATTGGAATTAAAATAAAATGATTCTTAATCTTGATGAACGCCCCATGTTGTTACATATGCTGGTGCAGCAATGTTTGGGGTGCTAAGTGTATTCAAATTAGAACCAAAGCTGTAAAAGTATCTACTTACCTGCTTGATGGGGTTCTGGGAGTTCTTCTACTCCCCAAAACCGGCCCGAGGCCAGGCTTGACTTGTGAGAGTGGTCCACCAGGCTGTTGCTTGGAGCGGCCCGCAGGCCCACATACCCACCACAGCCCAGTTGGACCGACACTTTTTTTTTTTTTTAGAAAACAATCTAGTTTTCTCTTAAAGATGTCCACTCACATCTTCATGACACAAGATGTATCATTCTGTTCCCTGAATTGTGGTATTTTTTTGTGGTCTCTTGAACTGTCTTGCCTTTCCTTTGTGGTTTTGGTTCTAATTTAATAAGGTGGTGTTAATTAGCCATGAATCACACTAGAGGTTTTCCACACATCCAGAGCACCAAATGAAATTAAGCAATTTATATATCTCAAACTTTAAAATCTTTTGTGAATGGGTCTCATTGCTACATGAAAATATTGGTAATAAAAAAAGTCTATTCTCCTACCAATATATGATGGGGGTTTCCTGCCTCTGTTTGAGTTCATGTTTCATTATTTTGTTCCCAAAAATATTGAAAACTAATGCAGTGCCACAGTTTGGTATAAAAATTTGAATGCTTATTGGCAAAATTTTTGTAGCAACATGCCATGGCATTGGCAGTGTACAATTATAAATATTATTTACATATACTGTACTGGTACCAAAAAACTATATTTTAATCTTGAGAGGTTATCCCAAGATGATTTTCGGGGCTTCGCGTCCCCGTGGCCCGGTCCCCGAACAGGCCTCTTTTTTGCTACACACCCCCAGGAAGCAGCTCGTAGCAGGTAATAGGGGCATCAGGGTGAAAGAAATGCTGTTCATTTGTTTTCGCCTCCACCGGGGATTGAACCCGGAACCTCAGGTCTCTGAATCTGAAGTGCTGTCCACTGTCCCATCAATATTTAAATAGTTAATATCCATTACAGTGTATCCAGGAATACATTAATTGATGCATTTACTTAGAATTTGAATAATATGTATCTATTGTTGTATACATTTACAGTATGTAATTATTCATTATTTATTCTTCACATTATCTTTTGCAATTCTGTCTGTAGTATTGATATTTTCATACATTTGAACAATTTAGTCCTGGGGAGTAACCTGGTTTTAGAAATAGCAACTTGAAAGGGTTAACAGCAAGCCAAGTACAGTGATGGACTACTATGTCAACTGGCAGCTCCCACATAAGGAAGTATAACTACGCCAAGTACAATAACATTGATGGTGTAAGCCTAGAGCTAGTCCTCACTCCGTTAAGATTCGGCTATGTAAACAGAACCCTTTGATGTGGAATTACACTGTAGGGTTCATGGGTGTTGAAAGTAAACAAGAAATCTTTTAAAGTAAGTCTAGTTCTTCTGATTGTTTCTATTAATGGTGTATCATCCCTGCAGCATCAGGAGAAGACCGATCGGGCACTCCAAAACCTCACAAAGATGGCCCTATGGGTGGATCAGGCATGCCAGGTGGAATGCCTGGTGGACAGCATCCGTCATCTCATCCTCCAACTCCTATCAATTCTGCCCCATCACCTGGTGCCGCATCCATGAACTCTCAACCAGATGATTTTGAGACGGTGAACTCTCCTGGTTGGCCGAGAAGCCCCAACACACAGACGGTAGGATGAGCCCTTGGGTCTCAGTTGGGGGAATAATTGTATTCCCTTCTGGCTGTCATTACTGGTAGTGTAATAGCAAACACCATTTTTAGGGGTAAATGCTTCAAAATATTACAATATGACATTAAAAAAACTGTAAAATACAGAGAGGTAATACCAAATTACAATTACATTTTTTTGATTAAATGAAATGGGAGAACTCAAAGTGACTTAGAACATTCTTAGGTGGTAGAAATCTAGGAGCAAAAAATTTATTCTTTATCAGTTCCCTGTTTCCCACTTTTATGGGGAAAACTTTATATATATATATATATATATATATATATATATATGCAATATGTATTACAAAAATATCACTAGGTCAATCATTATATTAATCACACCTTAAATCAGCATTTCTCAACCTTGGCTCTTTGGTGTCCCAAGATAATTAAGGGTTTCTCAAGAGAGAGTGAGAAATAGGTTAAGTGTAACCTTATGTTAATGTGGTTTGTAGTCATTTTCATGTTTAATTTTTCTCATTTAACCAGCATCAAGAGTAAAACCAAAGCATTTCCTTTTAGTTCTTGATGAAATCTGTGTGTTTATCCAGTGTATAACCCGGAATTATTTAAAGTGATTTTCAAAGTGCCATGTTCTCTCATCTATACATTAGGTTAGCGCTGCCAAACAAATTTTTATGCAGTGGTACCTTCGTTTTTGTATTTAATCCTTTCGAAAACCAAAAATTTGAAAACGAAAACTAGTTCTTCCATAAGAAATAATGTAAATTTAATTAATCCATTCCACACCCTTAAAAATATTAACTTGAAAATACATTTTATACATACTTATATTTTGTGCTACAGTATGTACAAGTATATCTTACCTTTACTGAGGACACACACAGAAATCAAAATAGCGTGATATATCAAATGAACAAATCCACAAGGGCCTTGATGAGGGTTCAAACTTATGCACAAGATGTTCCCAGACGTGCCGTAGTCAACTGTACAGTACCACCACATACCTAGGGGGGTTGGGGGGGGGGGAGAGGTGTTAGTGTTTGGAAGGTGAGTTCCCTTCCGTTATAACAGCAGTGATGACATTTTGCAGGCATACAACCTAGTTGTGGATCACTGCTTGCTTGTCTTACTAAGAATCTGTCTATAGACACTTGTTTTTCCCTACATTTTAACACTTGTCTGTAGTGAGACATCACATTCTCACTATGAATGATCTCTCTTTTCCTCTATTGTCATCCTCACAACTATTTTCTTAGGTTGAACTTTACCACTGAGTTTCTTGGAACTCATGGCGTGATACATATAATAAGAATATATATATAATAAGAACTTTTATGTTCAGAAACCAAAATAGCACAAAAGCAATTAAATTCATCACAAAGAATTCAATCGCAGTCGTCATTAGGCACTAAAATTTACTGGTAAACTGAAGTGCGTCACGTGCTTGGTCGGCCCATACGTGTATGAACAAACTTGAGCACCGAGACAAACCTCGAATACAGAGTCAAATTTTTCAAAGAAATTGAGCTCGAGAATCGAAAAATTAAAAAAGAGGGGCATTTGAAAACCGAGGTTCCATTGTACTGAAACATTAAATTTCATTGTAGATTACAATAGAGTACTGTACAGAACAATTATTTGAATAACAAAAATTCTAACCGTTATAAATAGAATGGGTGTTATGAATACAGTACTGTATTGTGGCCCATGTTTTAAGAAACGACCCAAAACCTGGAATAACCACTGAATAAACAAGAGACAATACATGTACTGCACAATGCCATCTAAAGACAATTTTTTTTACTAATTATTTTTTTATTAAATTGAAAATTAAACAAAATTAAATAAGGCAAATTGGAAAATGATAATCAATATTTAATGAAATTGATAACAAACAAAAATTGCTAAACAAATATTATGAGGGGTAGTTATGTTATTTATTTTTAGGTCTGGTAAACAACCAGGAAATCATGGAAGTTTGGGAATTATAATATTAAGGTTAATGTTGAGATGTTTAAACCTTCTTAAATAACTAATAATAGATGTGTAATGTAGATGATTTGACTACTTGTATATGCATAGAGATTGTCTGATCTCTTGTGTATACAGAGGTTGTCTATGCTCTTTTTGTAATATCCTGACACAAAGTCAGTGAACACAATATGGTCAACAAATATATACAAGGTACAGTAAAAAGTTATATACCATAAAGCTATAAGCAGGTTTGTATATGAGACAGGCTGTCAGCCTCATGAGGCAGGGTTGGCAGCCCTGCCATGAGTACTGCCATGATAGCAGTACTCGGCTGGCGGCTGAGACCATCTGACTGGTGAGATGGATGGTCCAAGGTGGGTTTGAGGAACTCCTAGCTACTCTGTGGTGGTACTGCTGGTGACAATATGGAGATGTCTTGTAAATACTCATCGATCGGCAAGGCATAGATCAATGCTGCTGGCTGATTGATCGAGAAGCAACGGCTGGTCCTATACAACCAAAGAGGTTGTATAGTTCTAAATCTCTTCCTAGGCAATGTGCTGATGTCGGTGCAAATCTTTCTGATATATTGTTAAATTTTGTTATGAAAACATAGTTAAGGAAATTTGGTGGTTTTAATGTACTACTTTTGTTTGTTTTATAGTTTGGTTTTATTCCTGTACATAAAGTTTGCTTTAAAAATGTTCTTTGTCATTTTGAGTGACTCCAATTTCAATTAAAAAAAAGTTAAGTACTGTAATTTGCTCTGGCCTTGCACTTTATTTATACTTAGGACAAATTTGATATAACCTCTTTGTTTTACAGTGTTATATTTTTGTTTTTATTAATGCTTAAAGGCTATTTTACTGAACTGCAATATTTTCCAGTGTTTACTCCTGAAGATGGAGTTTGATATCACACTGACATTGTGAGACCACATCATGATTCTAACTCAAGTTTTTCCACTCTACCTTCATTATATATACTACCTTCACACACACACACACACACACACACACACACACACACACACACATATATTATATACATATATAATAGTTTATAATTTGTTAGAGATAAGGCATGTACAAATGAATCTATCTATCATTTAATTTCATAACTATAGTAATGTTATCTAAGGTACAGTTGTCTGATGGAGATATCTAGCAGAAAATCTTACTTTTAATATGCATTGTCTAATTAAAATAACTTTCCTAACATTGTATGTGCTATTTTGTCGAGTGCTTTAAGCCGTGTGTGTGTGTGTACGTGTGTGTACGTGTACGTGTACTTATCTAGTTGTGCTCGCGGGTGTTGAGCTCTGGCTCTTTGGTCCCGCCTGTAAACTGTCAATCAACTAATGTACAGATTCCTGAGCCTACTTGGCTCTATCATATCTATACTTGAAGCTGTGTATGGAGCCATCCTCCACCACATCACTTCCTAGGGTGTGTGTGTGTGCAATTACCTAAGTGTAATTACCTAAGTGTAGTTACAGGATGAGAGCTACGCTCGTGGTGTCCCGTCTTCCCAGCACTTTTTGTCATATAACGCTTTGAAACTACTGACGGTCTTGGCCTCCACCACCTTCTATCCTAACTTGTCCCAACCGTCTACCACTGTTTGCAAGTGGTAGATGGTAGACAATGTTGATTAGTGTGTGTGTGTGTGTGTGTGTTCATGCAAAACATGTATAGTATATACACACAAATATATACATTGTATGCATTTAAAAAAATACCTCATTGGTTGGACATATGATGTATTTTGTCATAGATTTTGCTTATCTATTTTCATTAAGTTACATACACAAGATTTACCCAATAAATTATAAACAGGAAAGTTGACAAGTTAAGAATAATGCAACTTCAATGTCCGTCTTGATACTGGCTCTTTTGCTGTTGCTTTATACTGTACTATATTAGGCTTCAGATGGCATATATTAGGCTTAGGGGTGGTTTGGTTAGGTTTTATTAGCCATGTAAATACAAAATTCTAATCTGGTTTGTTGAAATACAATAGTACCAAATTCTACTGTCTAATTGTTCATTGTCTATATATGTACAAAGCTCCACATTATTACTATAAGTACAGTACTATCTAAACAGGAGTGGAACAAATGTCGTCTAAAAAAAAAAAGTCTACTCTCACTGTCAAGCCTTTGTCATCATTTCTGCTAAATGTTTTGCGTATTTTTTCAAATATAATTAACTTGGTCCACGAATTTGAAATTGTACACATACCAATAGTTATATTTGGTTGCTCAGCTATTCAAGTTTTGCCACTGAGGTGATAATATTGTAAATTCGTGTCAGATAATGACATTTGTTAATAGTGTAAATTATTTGCAATACAGCACTTAACTTTTGTTAGCTCATGTTTTCATTTTTCTGGCGTAGATGGTTGCACTATTCCTAATACCAGTGTATTGTCTGCTTTGCCTTCTCTGATCTCGCCATAGGTCTCGGGTATGTAACTATTTCCAGGTCTGAAATTAGGTGCATCTTGAGAATATGGGGTATTCTCAGTATTTTCAAAATGCTTCTTTATATTGAATTTGAATTAACAGGCGTCTACATATGGTCATTAATGTAAGCTGCTTATTTAAATTGATCTATTATATCCCCAGGATAGCCAGTTTTAGAACTAATCTAATGGAAAAATTGCACCATGACGTTTGCTATCTAGTTTTCAAGTATGTACTATGCTATACATGTGAGGAGTGTGCATTTCTGTTTATGTAAGTGCAATTTTGTTCATAAGTGCTGTATATTAATATATTTGTGCATCATTGTACATGTGTATGATAATACAGTATATATAATTGTGTACAAGTTTTTTACAAATGTACATTTATTTATTGTACAAATGTACAAGTTTTCATGCTTGTAAATATAGGGGTACCACCACTGGTACAATTGTAGGGACCCATAACCTCAGAGAAGAAAGTAAAGAGTATTCAGAGAAGACATTATGGATTCTCCCTGAACACTTGAGTATTTTTTTCTATGCCCCTACTTTTATTTATTTATTTATGCAATGTGTATAAATGTAAATATAAATGTATATAGTGTATGATAATTTGAGGTGTAAAGTGAGAGAAAGTGAATGAGAGAAAGTATGATAGAGGTATGTATAGGTATTCATTGATTTACCTTTATTTTTATAGAGGTGAGGTTTGTATTAACATTAAAGTGGTTTTGCACTTTGAAATGTGCCTGTATAGGGGTCCTGGGGTACATTTGCTAATGACCATAAGGCACACGAGTGGTATTGAGGTTATAGTCGTAGACTGTAAACGCAGAACTACTCTTGATCAAATTTTTATGCGGAACATAATGTTAATGTTTTGAGTAATTTGGTTGGATACATTGTTTCCGACATTTACTTGTATATCAGTGTCGGAGATGGGACTCGTCAAGGTTCCCCTAGTGAGGCTGTGTGCATGGTGTGCGTTACTGAATAGATTCGATAATCATTTTACAGCAGCAGTCGAGATAGCTGCGTCTTATCCAGATGTATCATTCTATACTTGTGCCATTATAAAGTGGAAGAGCCAATTTGTTCATGAAATGTACCTGGATGGAGGTTCTGGGAGTTGTTGTTGTTCCCAACCTAGGCCCAGGGGCCAGGTCTGAGAAATGAAACATGCTCAAGCATTTCTGTCCTGTCCAGGATTTCTGATTTGAGTCAAGAATGAGGCGAACTGTACTAGAACCTGTCCAGGATTTCTGATTTGAGTCAAGAATGAGGCGAACTGTACTAGAACACCCTTGTATCAAGGATAAATAGAGCTCCTAGTGCTTGGCTTCATGCTCAAGTTTCATAACAAATTGTAGCCCAGCTGTTTCAATGCGGGAATTCTGCGTCACTCAACATTTCTGTAAATAATACTTGCTAGGGGACCCAAGATAGCCATCTAGAAACAGCATTTTCATTTTACAAGTACTGTACTGTATAGTTATTGAATATTAATAAATATCTCATAATACAACATAGTTGAGAGATGGATTGATTATGATCAGCAAATCTAGTAATTGGTAATGTGGTAACAAGGGGTGTAACTACATCATCAGTGAGATTTGGACGTATATGGTACATATTGGATCATTACCTTACCTTGAGTCGAATCCGTGGATCAATGGAATCCGTTGATAGTTGGAAGTTTGCACCTAATCTTGGCTATTGTATGTACAGTACAGTGTTTTAGGTAGTTATATTGTTGACAAAAAAGGAACAAATCAGGTATTCAATTCATTGATTTTGTCTCAAATGGTTGGGGGGGGGGATTAATCTCGGCTGTCACATTTAAGGTGTTGCCTATTAGGATTTAGTGGATTGTATGTTCAGTTTTCTGGCTGGGTTTCCCATGTGGCACTACTCAACTCTCAAGACACCAATATAACCTATACAAATGCTTTCAGATTTTTACATTTTTGTGTGCATGAGATAATATTTAATGAACAATAATAATTTTAGTTTTAGGAGTCTTCAGTTTTATTATAGAAATGTATGAGTTATAACTCTCTACCTGTATTTAGTTCATAATGTGATATGTAGATTAGGAAAACAAGTAATATTTCACTGCTAAATATTTACCTATAAGGAATTCACTCATTCACAATTCACAAGTCATGTGCATGATATACACGCAAATCACAATAATTAATTTTTTAGCTGTTTGAGTAAGCCATTGCACCAGCATAGCCTAATATGAAGTGAGACAAAGTATTGTTTGACTTTTCACTCTGTGTGTGTGTGCGCGCGCGTGTACAGTACTTTGCTGTTTAGTGGGTGAAGAGGTCAAATATCCTGAGAGTATTATATATTAATAGGTTCACTTGTACTCATTTCTTACCCAGAGTCATTAAATGTTGAACACTGAAAGGTTACAGTTATCCCTGTATTCTCAAAAATTTCTCATTTGAAATGATTCTATGATTCTTGTGTTTAAAATTAGTAAATGTCTAGGAGTATGATGTAACACAACCAGAACTGATGTGTTCTAATTTGGTTATAAGTATGAGCTACCTCATATAGGCCAATAGGCCTTCTGTAGGTTCCTTAATTCTTATGTTTTTATGAATGAGTGAGTTCTTTGGCTGAAAGAATACAGCACACCTCATGAATCTCAAATTCCAGTGGTGCCTCTTCAGCCATATCTTCCTCCCATCCTCCCACAGTACAGTAGTAGTGTTTTCAATTTTTGTGCACAGTCTTTCACCCTGGAACCCCTTAGACGTCACAATGTGTGTGTGTGTATGTGTGTTGAATTGAGAATGAAAGTGCCGGCACCTGAGAGAATTCAAGGGGGTCACAGGCCAAAAGTGACGATTAATAGGTCAACATGAAAACAAATGTGGCATTTAGAATTGGAGCAAGCCAACCCATGGAGAATGCTTGTTAAGAAGAATGTGAGGGAATATTAGTTTGGTTTTCAGTAAAAAATTTATTAATTATATATATATATATATATATATATATATATATATATATATATATATATATATATATATATATATATATATATATATATATATATATATATATATATTGTATGTATGTATGTATGTATGATGTTGAAAATTACAAAATTTTAGAATTATGATTCTGGCACAAATCTTCTCGATATTTCTTATGTTTTTCTTCACTGAAGCAGGAAATTGAAAAATTAACTTTCCCAAGTTCATTTTTACTTTTTATTGGGTCTGACGCCTAGTGATGCATTTCGCAAGGTTCCTCCTCACATTCTCAAAGACAAATTCTACCCTGCTTTCCACTGGGTTATATTATCTTATGGTGAGGTGGTTAGATAACATATGGAGGAATAGGTAACATATGGATGACGGGCATTAATAGGGTATAAGGTATTAAATGTATCAACATAGAGTTTGAGTATTGCTTCCGTTTCAGTGGCAGGGTCATTTGGCCCCTGTCTGCGTTGGCCCGGGGTCTTGAAGTGGGTAGAGTGTAACTGTGTATAAGCTAGTTGTTGATTGCTGGTCTTGATTTCTTGATATGCAGCACCTCACTGAAGCCTAATCTTCTATCATCATTGTATCTATCAGTTATTTCGGTGTTGCTCGTCAAAATATCCCTGGTGATCGTCTCGTTGTGTGTGGCGATTATGTGTTCCATGATGGAGCCTTGTTGTTTGTGCATTGTTAATCGCCTAGAGAAGGACATTGTCGTCTTGTCTATATACTGAGATCATTGGGGCTGACACAATTACTCTACCTACTTCAAGACATAAAAAGTAAAAAAGAACTTTGGAGAGTTAATTTTGAAACTTCCTACTTCAGTGAAGGAAAACATAAGAAATATCGAGAAGATTCGTGCCAGAATTATAAATCTAAAACTTTGCGGTTTTCAATGAAATATATATATACTGTATATATGTATATATGTGTGTGTGTGTAGATATATAGATATATATATATATAGATATATATATAGATATATATATAGATATATATATAGATATATATATAGATATATATATAGATATATATATAGATATATATATATATATATATAGATATATATATATATATATATATATATATATATATATATATATATATATATATATATATATATATATATATATATATATATATATATATATATATATATATATAATAATGTATTTATTTTTCTCATTAACTTATTTTTATTTGTATAATTTTGAAATTTGAGGCATGGTAGTATGAGTAGTGTGCTGAGGATAGACTTGTAAATTAGTAGTAATAAGTGAATATAGCATTGTGGAAATATCACTCACCCCCATGCCACAAATATGTTACCATTCTGTTTAAGGTTATTCGTTATAATTTGCTGAAATGTTGACCTTTACAAGGAAGTGGCACAGGAGGGGTTGCAGCTGCTGCTGCTTCTGAGTAAAGGCCGAGTCATTATCAGTAACTTTTTTCTAAACGGACCAAAGTTAACAGAAACCATGGTAAATCTCAACGTTGCGTGACATTTTTCAGGTGTATGCTAACAGTCAACCACCCCCACCCCCAGACATCTACAGACCATCCAAGGTTAATATCAAGGTTTACACCCAGCCCACTTTTGGATTTACTACCTAACTGTTGCAGGCCTGATTGCCCCCCACTCCCTAGCAGATCTGCCCTCCCCGTAACTCCACAGAACCAGCCTATTGGTTGACGCTTCCATCCTGCCCCTCTCTAGTCTTTGCTCCTGCTTACTAAATCTCTTCCTCTGCTTTTGTAGATTCTTCATTATATTCTGATATAATTGAGGTAAGATGCTCTCCTACCTATGCTAACAGTTGAATTGATATATGAAATTTAAAAACAGAAGGTCTTGAGTTTGTTAAAATCATAAAGCCTACATGACTTGAGAATCTTCTGTAAATGTTGAAAACAAATCTCCTAGACTAGTAGGGGGCAGAGGCAGAGCCAGATGAGTCCCTGGCACATGACTTGCTTGAGTAAGCTTAACAACTGGCCCTAGTAGGAAGCATGGATAGCATGGCACTAGCAGTAGTCTTGCTGAAATAGAGCTCGTCACGGCAGTAGCTAGTTACTGCTAGCCTGTTACTGAACGTCCCAGAACTGTGCTGGCTGTTCTGGGTGGATCTTGCGGTATTGGTAGCTTTGTAGATGAAGCTGTGACTTTGTTGGTAAGTTTGGCTCTTTTCTTTGCTTCAAGCATCATGCTAATGTTTTTAAGTCCTTCACATTTGTTGGCACTCTAGTTTTTATTACTCATGATGCTTTATGTTCAGAAAATTGTCAAAGTTTGGCATCAAAATTAGTACTTAATAACTTGGATTGACAGAAACTATAAGACTGATTTCAGTCATTAAATTCTTAGGTAATTCTTTTCTTTTGGGAAACACTACATCTTGTGATTCTCTGAGAGGTAATAGTCTTCTGTTTGTCCTTGATATTATGTATGCTTGGCCTGTTGTAGCTCATACTCTTAAGTGTGATGCGTAGGCTTCTTAGTTTTAACAGTCTTGCTTAGACCACAGTTTTAACTTGAATACTCATCAGATCTCTCACATTGTGTTCATTGCGGCTTAAAGATGAGTATATACAGTACTTAGTTCTGCATAAGAACTTTTGATGATTTAAACCTTGTGGGAATGATTTTACTTTGTCTCAGCGAGTCCTCTCTGTTGTATGGTTTATGAATGAAGTTTGACATTATCATTATTTTCCTTAATTAATCATACTCCCACTTTTAATGCATCAAATTTCGATACATTACAATTTGCATCACAGACCTTAGATACTGAGGAACTGTAAGAACAGCAAAAGCATACAGTACTAGTACTTCCCAAGTTGCTACGTACATCCATGTGAATACTAATGATATTTTCCCATTAATGTAATAAAATCCTTGAACATTTCAAGCAATTTCTGTTGAGAATTAAATCAAGTCCCATGGAAGTTCAAATGTGACCAGATTTGCCCTATATCCTTGTATATAAGGTTGCTGTATCTTAAGTTTTCTTAAGGTTGCTGTATCCTAAAGTATAGTGTACCTTTAGGAAGTAGGACTGTACAAGGGGAATATTTAGCTCTCTGGTCTACATTATAGAAACCCCTTCTCTGCCAATGCTTTTGAGATGTGCTAACCAGTTGTAGTGAAGCCCACATAATGCCTTCCCTTTCAGCCTAGTTATCAAGTTAGTCCTGTAGAACAATCTTGGTATTCTCTTCTAATTAGAGGATTATGTCCTCTGGAGGTTGCTGCATATTCTTTTCATAGTTTATATCCTGTTTGTTATTTGGAATTAAGGCTGTAATATATAACAAATTGCAGTTATGTTGACCCAGAATGTTTGATATTATTATTCATCCTTATATCATAATTATCATTAGTTGTACTTGATTGCTTTTTATATACTTGCACATTCATTATTGATCCATCTCGATTTTTATATTAATTGAGATATGAGTTCAAAACTTGCAGTTCAGTATATGAATAACATTTAAGTAAGGAAGTCATAATCACAGTCTGGGTTGACATGCTATGCTCTTGAGCTGCTAGTGAGGGAGACTATGCATAGAACACTGCCGTATATGCCTACAATTTGTATGTCTCACTGCAATTATTGAATCTTCCCTTTGCAGCCGGGAGAGAATCTGGCTCGTCTTTATGAAATGTCGGACTCTCCGGAGCGACGAGTCTGGTTGGACAAGCTATTGACTTTTATGGATGATAATAAGACTCCCATCACTGCTTGCCCCACCATCAGTAAAAATCCTCTTGATCTCTACGCCCTTTATCTCCACGTACGGGAACGTGGAGGATTTGTGGAGGTATGTTGATTTTACTTGAGAACAGTTCATTAATTGAATGCATCAATAACCTTTCTCATTAAATGCTTATTGTTGAGCAATGTACAGTATATTTCAGTAGAAAAGCTTTTACTTAGGGAAATATCTATGAATAAATTGAGCCGTTTTCTAAAAATGGTAGAACCTATAGCTACTCTGGATGGAATACTGTATACAAAACATGAACTTGTAAAAACAAACTTAATGTTTTGTGTTATTAGCAATCTAAAGGGTATAACAAAAAGTTAAACAGTTACGATAAACATAACATAATCTGTCCTAGGCCTAGCATGCAATCTTATGCCTAATTTCTAAACACATGCATATACTAGGCTTAGAAAAAAATTAAGATTTGGTTGTTGCTTCTTTTTCTGGGATCATCAACAACATTAATTGTACAAAACGTACATTTTCTTATAATAGCGTGCTGTATTTGCCTGGATAATGAAGAGAAATGTCTTACTTATGTCATGACTCTTAATAGTGGTTCTATTTACTCCATCTTTTGTATCACTTGACCACCACATAAATGGTGTAGGATAACAAGCAGGTTTTTTTTGGGGTGGGGGGGGGGGGGGACTTTGTTGGTCTATTACATAATAGTGCGTGTATACAGTAGTTTATTTGTAAAAGGATGAAATATGTTTTATGATGGGGGAAACTCCTTAAAAAGGTAATTTTATTGCAATGCATTTATTGACTTACAGAGCATAGCTATCGATCGATATCTAATGCAGTTACTTTTCACATGGAATATTCCTCAGGTATTTTAAATATCCTCAAGTGGTGTTGACTTTAAGGATCACTTGAAAAATTTGCTGGAATTCCACATATTGGTTTGACAACAAACAGTAAAGCCATTACCATATGCTTGTACAAGGATTCAAATGTGTATAAAAATGTTGAGGATTGACAATGCAGGCACATAGTGGGGCAGTAACAAAGAAATAACAGAGAGACAATAAGTGCAACTAATGAAAAAGAGAACAAAAAAGAAAACTATGGTATTTAAACAAAAATATGTTTTTTTTTTAAATCTAGCAGACCACCACATGGTGGTATTGAATACTAGCCTAGTTGTATTCACTTAGTTGTGCTTGTGGGGTTGAGCTTCAGTTTTTTAGTCCAACCTCTCAACTGTCAATCAACTGGTGTACAGATTCCTGAGATTATTGGGCTCTATCATATGTACATTTGAAATTGTATATGGAGTCTGCATCCACCACATCACTGCCTAGAGCATTCTATTTGTTAATTACCATGACACAAAAAAATATTATTCCTATTGTGTCTGTGGCTCATTAGAGTACTAAGTTTCCATCTGTGTTTCCTTGTTCGTGTTCACCCGTGCTAAATAGTTTGTCATTGTGTACCTGTCAACACACCCAGCGTGTGTGTTGACAAAGATGGGAACCCTGAGTAGGTGAGAGTTTATGGTCCACTGTTACACGACACTTGGCAGTGCTTCACTGGGTAGTCAAGTCTACCTTGTATCTTATGGTGTCTGGTGTAAGACTAAGAAAATTGTATTAATATTTAAGTGATTTGAGTATGTTTGAACTGACATGCAAATCACTAAGATTGCTGTATCAAGTTCCATCAGATTGTTAGTCTTGTACTAATGCACAATCCATCAATAAATTTTTAGGTAACGAAGAACAAGCAGTGGAAGGATGTGGCAGCAGTAATGGGCATTGGGGCATCATCAAGCGGTTCATATACCCTCCGCAAGCATTACATGAAACATATTTTAGCGTACGAGTGTAAATATGACCGAGGAGGCATTGACCCTCAACCGATAGTCAACCAGATAGAAGCGGCAGCAAAGAAGAAAACAACGAAGACGATATCAGTGCCCTCCCCTGGTAAGTGGTGAATGTGGGTTGTCTGCATGATACAGTAGTAAAGCAGTAAGTACAGTAGTACAGCAGTACAGTAGAGTCCTACACAAACAGCAATTAGTCTACAGAATTTTCGAAAGCAACATAAAGATTGCAATGGAAAATTAAGAAAGAGTTGCTGCTGTAGCAAATTCCCATTCAGTATTTATTCCCTTTCATTTCATTTACCTTTTGAGGATTCTGAGGGTCAACATCCCTCAGCCTGGTCTGGTCAACCAGGCTGTTGAGTGTGGCCACTCATAGCCTGACATGTGAATCACAGCCAGCTTGATTAGGTATAGTTTGAGTGTGTTTTATCAAGTTCTGTTTTGAACACTTGAGAGGTCATCCAGTTTTGCCCCTTATGTAATTACCAAAGTGTAGTTACAGGATGAGAGCTACACCCTTGATGTCGTGTCTATCCAGTACTCTGTCATATAATGCTTTGAAACTATTGACGGATTTGGCCTCCACCACCTTCTCACTTAACTTGTTCCAGCCTTCTATCACTCTGTTTGCCAAAGTGAAATTTCTTATATTTCTTCTGCAGGTTTTTTTAGTTAGCTTAAATCTATGACCTTTTGTTCTTGAAGTTCTAGGTCTCTGGAATTCTTCCCTGTCATTTTTGTTGATTCCGATTTCTATTTTGTATGTTGTGATCGTATCGCCTCTTTTTCTTCTATTTTCTAGTTTTGACATATTTAATGCCTCTAATAGCTCTTGTCTTTCAGTTCCAGGAGCCATTTAGTTGAAAGTCTTTGCACCTTTTCCAGTTTGTTTCCAGTTTGTTGATGATCATCTTTTTTAAGATGATCAGCATCTTATGGGCACCATACAACTGCTGCATGTTCCAGCTTTGTTCACACATGTCCTAAACAATTTCTTTAGTATTTCACCATACAGTATTTGTATTTAAAAGCAGTTCTGAAGTTTGAAAGCGTAGCGTAGGCTCCTCACTCAGTGTTGTTTGTGTCCCCCTCAGGTAATAGTTTTCTTTCTAGAACCACCCCTAGATCTCCTTATTAATAAGAATTTTGTTTAAAGCTTTTTCACATAATTTGTAGGTTGTGTTTGGTCTATTTTTTTTATTCCACATTCCTTAACATGGCATTTATTCATATTAAATTCCATTTGCCAGGTAGTGCTCCATACACTTATTTTGTCCAGGTCTTCTTGAAAGAAATGACAATTGTCTAAGTTGCTTTTTCTTCCCTAGTTTCTTAGCATCATCAGGAAACATGTTCATATATTTACGTATTCCTTCTGATAGATCGTTTATGTAGACAATAAACATAACTGGTGCAGGAACTGAACCTGTTGTACTCCACTCGTGACATTCCTCCAGTCTTATACATTGCCTCTGATTACTGACCTCATTTTTGTCTGTTAGAAAATTTTTCATCCATGTCAGAAGTCTGTCTGTCAGTCCTCCAGCATGTCCCAGTTTCCAGAACAACCTCTTATGTGAAACTGTTGAAAGCCTTTTCCAGTAGGTCCAGTCATATGCAGTCAAGCCGACCATCTCTTTCCTGTAAAATTTCTGTGGCTCTCAGGGGAGGGAGCCTGTGGCTGAGCGGACAGAACACTGGACGCGTGATCCTGTGGTCCTGGGTTCGATCCTGGGCGCCGGCGAGACACTATGGGCAGGGTTTCTTTCACCCTGATGCTCCTGTTACCTAGCAGTAAATAGGTACCTGGGGGCGGAGGCCTGGTCGAGGACCAGGCCACGAGGACACTATAGCCCCGAAATCATCTCGAGATAACCTCAAGATAACCTCATGTAAACGAAGTAAATTTGTAATTCGGGATCTTCCAGATGGAAAACCATACTGTGTGTCAACACCATGAAGGGTTGCGATATCATCACTGATACAAGTAGAGTCGGTTCACACTGGATATTGAGTGGCAACAGTCCGTCTAGTTCCTGGACATTACAAAGTCACACCTTAAGAGTGTTACTGTTCAGTTGTTGGCCAGAGGTCAGGTCATATCAATGGACCTTGCCTTTCTGCTGAGCTGATAAGTGCAGATGGGTGGCTGTGTTCTTTCTGTCAATCAAGCCGCTGTCTAGGTGTGGTAGGATGATAGCCAGAGGCCATCTCCTGGTTCCCTCTTAAATAATTGAGCAGTTGTACATTAGATAGAGGATGCCTCGCTCCACCAGAAGATCTAGCGAGAGCAGGCCAGATACTACCGACCTGTTCTGACTGGTTGGGGCCTTGACTGTTACCCGTACACCCCCCCCCTCCATCTATAACCACTTTACTTTAGACGTTGGCGAGTCTGATTTGTAAGGTGATGTATTCTGTGTATGCCCAGATTATATGTTATGTAATTTCTAGGGGCAGTCAGCTGTATTTGCTCTCAATTTCTTGTGTAGTGACTCTAATTCAGAATTAATGTTGACATGGGGAAAGTCAAGGGGAAATTATTGAATTATGATAATGATGTGATTGAATTTTTATGAATATATAATAAAATAATAATCACTTAACTTTTTTAATTCTGTAAATCTGATCCCCCAAGATCTTGTATTCATACTCGCCCATAAATGTCTCCTTTCATCCATATACCTGTCCCCTCACCCATATACTCACCCATATATCTCTCTCATTACCTCACATCTTTTATCTCTTCCCTCACCCTGTATCTCATATCTTGCTCCTCACTGTATACCTTCCACCTCTTCTCACCCCATACATTCTGCTTTGCCCCTCAGCCCTAAACTTTCCACCTCTCCCCTCACCTCAGAACACAAATGGCAGAGATTGGTGCCATTTCCTTAACAAAAGGCTGGCTTAAAATTACCGGTTCATGTTCACTGAAAATTTGATTTCGTGAAAACTTGATCTTCTTCATCAGGGTCCTCAAACTCCCAGGACTCCTTTCCACCAGCGGGGTCAAACAGCAGTTCCATGGATGGGTTTTCCAATGGTCCACATGTACCTGGAGGACCAGGTGTGCCCGGTCCATACCCACAGTACCCACCCTCTTCTGAGTATGGGGGCCACATGCCGCAACGACCGCCATCACAATCAACTTCTGGTGAGTGTTTTAGTTGTACCTAATACCACCCAGTGTTTTGTCAAAGTAGAAACCCTTAGAGGTTAGTATTTTGCAAGATAAATATTTTGAGAGGTTTGCAGGGAACCTGTTTCAAATCTGTTACATTAAAGGTGTTTTTTCCTCACTGCCTCTGGAACCATTAAACATTAGCCCAACTCGCCCGGCCTTTTGAGACCCTTCTGTAGCCTTCCAGGATATAGCACACTTGACGAGGCAAGGGAAACATGATACGAGAGATTAATCATAAAAATTCAGAAACCCACCAAAATGCTTTGAAGCATGAAAATAAACCACTGCTTGAAGGAAATTTGGCACTCCTAGCTTAACAAGGCACCCAATTGTAGCTGTGGTGTAAATACCTTACCAGACTGCCTCCAGATTGCCTGAGGCCACAGGAAGCCTACTCCACCACCCTTACATCTGGTGTCACTGGCTCAAGACCTGTTTATGTCTAGAAGGCCTGTCACTAGCCTTTTCTAAAGTGTCACTCTGCCTTCTTCTAAAGTGGTTTTGACTTTCACTGGAAAATAAATTCTGCCAGGCTTCTTTGCTTTGGTTATTTTCATTTACTATTGATGATTGTGTCTGTGCTGCCCATCTTGCGTGTGTCCTAGCATTCCATTTTGTTCCGACTGTTAGCAGGTTTGATTTTGTTGTGGTCGGCATGCCAGAGATGATGGGGGTTTGTAGGCTACGTACTTCCTCTATGAGCTGACCCCTCTTTCAGGTCACTCCATTTCCGGGTAGTGCATAAAATTTGGTTTTCTCTATGGGTCTATTGTTAAGAGAAAAACAAATCTTCTCATTTTCTGAGGAAAAAATCCTTTTGACTGTGTCTGTGCATGTTAAATACCTGCCTATTGTGTCGTTCTAGTGAGTGCTAGGGACCTTGCTTGGCCAAGAGTATGCATGGGTTACCTGTGTGACTTTGGTGACACAGGTGACTGTCACCTGTGTCTGCTTGTGCCTTCCTTAACTGAGTTTTCAATATTGTGGTTCCGTGTTTGATTTGCTCAGGCACTTCCTCTGCACCCAGAATGCCTGACTGTATGTGTGATGGTTCAGATAGTAGGACTTCCTTATACCTATGGGGTAGAATTATACCTAAGGGGGACATATCCATCGGGATTTGCATAAAAAGATACCTTGCCTGCACAAAGAGTAAACCTCCTTCAAGCAGGTGTGAACCTGCAGGTGTGAACCAGCAAGCATAAGAAATATTGCCAGAACAACCGTGGACATCTTCAAGAGGAAACTAGATTTATTCCTCCAAGGAGTGCCGGACCAACCGGGCTGTGGTGGGCCTGCGGGCTGCTCCAAGCAATAGCCTAGTGGACCAAACTCTCACAAGTCAAGCCTGCCCTCAGGCCAGGCTTGGGGAGTAGAACAACTCCCAGAACCCCATCAACCAGGCATCAACCAGGAACCCACTCTCCAGCTGATGGCAACCAAGGCACTAGGACATGGAGACATCTCCAATTTTATCCTATGCAGGGCAGGATAGAACAGGACACTGTTGCAGCCACAAAAGAAGAGCCTCTTCAAAGAAAGCAAAGAGGGGTGTGCCATCTAGGATGAAACCAAGACTGCATATTGAAACCAGGAAGTGGAAAAGAAACCATACACAAAGAAAAATTAATCAAATTCACACACTCGCAGTACTGGGTTTGAAGCACATACCCAAGCAAGTCTCATCAAGCTTTATTGAAAAGCCGACAAGACAATGGGAACCTGCATAAGAGAATGGCCGAAGAGAGTGAGAGGGGGTGGGTTGGCAAAGCCAATTCACAAAGAGGGACTTGAAATTTCACCAGTAGGAAGTAAAGGCTGCTTCCAACTTGTACCAAGATGCAGGAAGAAGAGAACCTGTCCAAACAAAGCAAGAAACTAGCAGGGCCAGAAATGGAATGTCAAAGAGGGTCAAAGGTTATCCAATGTACATAAGGACACAGACAGGATTTCAACTAAGAAAGCCCCAGATCCCCTTCAAGTAGAAACCCTATGCCTATAATAGGATTTCACACAATCAGACCTTCTCATAGAAGGAAAGCAACGTGTAAAAGATCTGGGAATTATGATGTCTGACGACCTGATGTGTAGTGAACACAACAGAGCAAATACAGCGGCAGCCAGGAAAATGATAAGGATGGATTATGAGAACGTTCAAATTCAGAGACCCCACAGCAATGCTAACACTACTTAAATCATTTATGCTGTCCCATCTTGAGTGTTTTGCTCGGTACTTACGTCCCTTTTCAGAACAGGAGAGATCGGTGAAATAGAGGGAATACAGAGAACATATATGACACGTATAGAAACGATAAAACATCTAAATTATTGGGACTCTCTCAAAGCTCTCAAAATGTACTCGCTGGAAAGGAGTCGAGAAAGGTGTCAAATAATATATACAGTACATGGAAGATACTGGAGGGCTGGGTTCCAAATTTGTACAGTAGAATAACAACATACTGGAACGAAAGGTATGGAAGGAAATGCAGAATAGAACCAGTGAGAAGTAGAGGTGCCATAGGCACAATCAGAGAACACTGTTTAAAGATCAGGGGTTCACGGCTGTTCAACACCCTCCCAGCAAGCATTAGAAATATCGCCGAAATGAAGGTGGATGTATTCAAGAGGCACTTGGACAGGTTCTTGCAAGTGTCAGACTAAACAGGCTGTAGTGGATATGTAGGCCTGCGGGCCATTTCAAGCAACAGCCTGTTGGACCAAGTTATCACAGGTTGAGCCTGGCTCCAGGCCAGGCTCGGGGAGTACAATAACTCCCGAAACCCTCTCCAGGTATGCTCCAGGTATACACCTACAAAATTCTCAGAAGCATCGACAGGGTGGACAAAGAAAAGTATTTACTGTGTTCCACCCATTAACATGGGTGGAACACGACCAAAGGGACACAGGTGAAACCGAGTTCCCAAATGAGCCACCGACATTAGAAAGATTTGTTTCATTGCCAGGGTAGTTAGCAAATGGAATACACCAGGCAGATGCCATTAACAGCCTCAAATATGGTAAAGCTCAATAGGCTCAGCAATCTATTTGGCTTGTTGTTGGAGCTTGGCTTTTGTTGTGCTTCAGGCTACATGCACTCGGTGCTTTCTTACCCTGTGTGTGCGTGCTAGCACTGCCCATGCACACTTGGTTATCTTTTCTGGTGTGTTCAGGAGTTCATCTCTCAGAGGCCAAACCACCAGGGTGGAGAGCCTTGCCTTGGGCTGTTCACATTTTTTATTCCTCTGCATGGGCCCTTGGCTGGAAGCTTGCTTTTGGTTGTATTGAGGCGTGGTGAGATTTGCATGCTTGTTCAAGTGGCACATCATGATCACTATTCATTGCCTGGGTTTTTGGCTGCACTTTGTGAATTGTTCTGGTGAGCAGCTCCAGTTCCTGGGGCTTCTGCTTGGTTAGCTTCCTTGGGGCCTGGAAATATTCTCACGGATCTCTGTCTGGAGCTATTAATCGGGCCATTCTGCACTTGCTGAGTACGAACTTAAAGGCTGTTCATCGTCTTTGCTACCTGATGATTATCTTGTATCTGCCTTCGCCATGCTGCCTTCTGGGTCGGTGACATTTTCAACTCGGAAATGTGTTTACTAGCTCTATTCTCCTACTGATGCGTTTTCGAGTTTGGAAACTTTTCAAGTAGCTGCCATGTTAAGAGCTCAATTTGCTTGTGTTAGGCATTTGCCACATATTGATCTGGATGCCCCAGTTTTGGCTTCTGGATTTTAGGGATTCAGAATTGGATGTTTTAATGATTACCTGGACAGAGTCCATTCCTTCTCTTCCTTTACCTTTGGGTGTGGATATGGCAGCTGATTGCAGCCATGTCCAACAGTCTGGTTGACCAGACCACTAACCATGAAGTCTGGTCAGTGACCAGGCTATGGGGACGTTGATCATTGGAACCATCACAAGGTAACCACACGGTAAGCCTATGGTGGAGTTTGTCGATCCTTCCCCCACTCTTGGGGTTGGGTCTTACAGGTCAGAAGCTCTCTCAAAAGCACCGTAATTCGGTGGAATTATAGTGCATCCTTGATCAATTGGGATTGAACAGCTTCATTATCATTCTGGCTCTCTGTATGACTACTTTGGCCTTCTACTACGGGCTGGAGCGTGGATGGTGTTCCTCGACCTCAAGGAGCTTACTGGCACATCCCAATCTATCCCAAGTTCAGGGACTGGCTAGGTTTTGTTGTGGCACATCAGGCTTACCACTTCAGGGCTCTTCCCTTCAGCTTGAATCCAGCCCAGTGTGTGTATACCAGGTTATCGCGGGTCGTTATGGCCCAGCTTCATCTTGGTAGTTTGTGTGTTGGTCTACTTAAATGACTGGATGGTGTGGGGCCCCCAGTCAGTCTGTATGTTAGCTGGCTAGGGATGTAGTTTTCCCAGCTCACCAGGTTTGAGCTCCTGGTGAACTGGTGGAAGTTCCAGTTTTGGACTTAACTGGGCCTCGTTTGGGATTCATGGTCGGCTTCTATCTCCCTGCCTCTGACGGCTTTCCCTTGCGTTCAGGTTTGTTGCTGTCGGGTGTTGTATTGGCCAAATTGGATGACTTGCTAATTTGTCGAGCAGTTCTGTGAGAACCTGAACTTTGCCTGCATTGTTTTCCTGCGGGGCCAAGTTTGGCTCCAGGTGTTGTACTGGTTTCCTCGATTCCCTCTGTTTTGCCACTCTAGGGACCATAGATTCAGACTTTGCTTGCCCTTTGCCGGCTTCCCTTTTGGGCTTTTCGGGTTTCGGTTCTTGGTGCCATCCTCCGCCGTCGCTCGACGTGTTCGCGGATACCTCAGCTCTTGGTTGGGCTCTGTGACCAGCACTCACCAGGCCACCCAGGGTTGGTGGTAGGGTTTGTTCCTTTGGATGCATGAGTTTAGGACTATGTTGCATGCCCTGAAGAGGGTTCAGCTTTCTCTGGGCCCTGAGCTCTGTGCCTTCATTTCCACTCCAACTTCTCC